CACTCCAATGCTGATGACAGTGATACCTTTTGCTCGCAATGCATCGGAATGCATTTTTAGTGTTTTTTTGTCATGGGCAGCCCCGTCTGTGATCACCATGAGAATCTGACGAACGTTGAGGTTTCTCCGGCCGCCATTTTTCTCCTCAAAGTACTGCAACGAGTATTCCAGAGCTCTGCCAGTGTAGGTTGTATCATCAGGTGGCTTCATTCTATTAATAGCTTGACGTACTTCTGCACTTGAGTAATACTTGTTTAGAGGAAACTGGACTTCAGGTGTTTCGGAGTAAAGAATGGCTCCAAAACGTGTAGAGTCCTCACTGACTATGGTCTGGTTCACTATAGAGTCCATAAATATTTGCATGCTTATGAATCTGTCACTTACGCTTCTTGAGCCATCCACCAGGAAGATAATGTCAGCTTTTCCTACCTTCTTACAATCTGTGAGAAGAAAAAGTGAAAACAAAATATCAGCTTGTGTGACACTAAAAAACACCATGACTGACATGGGCAATGTGGAGTCAACAAGTCATCTCCATGTCATGTATTTGTTCTACCCAGCCACTGAAGCAGGTGAGTCCAATCTTCACCGTGAATTAACCTGTTCAGATTGGACTCACCTGGTTAATTGGCAGGGTAGATTAAATACATGACATGGAGATGACTTGTTGACTCCACATTGCCCATGTCTGCACCATGACTGCTGTGATCAGACGGGTTAACAACAGACGGTTGTTACGGTGCATTAATTTAGCTTTAAATTAAAGTGGTTTTCAGAGATACACTCCTGATCATGATCAACTTGCTTTATTTATAATTTATAATGAGGCAGAATCTTAGATTGAAAATGTAAACAGAAGTAACTGGAGCAGGAAGCAAAACAGAGGAAGATGAATGTCTACAAGTTAGACAGGTTGTTCATCTCCTGATCTGTGATTTTAACAAAATGGCCAAAAAACGACATCATCCAGTCGGTATGTGGAAAGGTTGGTGGCTTCATGGACAGCTGCAACGCTCATTAAAGCTCACCGACCACCCATCCTCAAACATTTTCTAAAGGATTCAGATCAGTGGGGAAGGTAGGATGGTCTTAATCACATGGATACCAGTAACTCCATTATTTCACTGAAGGCAGAAGTGGAACATATCACCAGTTTCATGAACATGTTTTCCCAGCTTTTATTGTCATTCCAATGTCACAAGTATAGAACAATGAAATGAACTCTCTGCACTTAACCCATGCCCTTGGGGAGCAGTGGGCTGCCATTGTGCGGCGCCCAGGGAGCAATGTGGGGTTAAGGGTGTTGCTCAGGGACTGCTTTGCCAGTGGTGTAAAAGTTCACACATTTGTTACTTAAGTAGAAGTAAAGATACTGCAGTTTAAAAACACTCTGGTAAAAATTGAAGTATCACTTGACCTCTTTACCAAAGTAAAAGTGTAAAAACTATGTGCTCTAAAAACAACTTAAGGTATAAAAGTATAAAGTAACCTTAAGATGCCACTATATGAACTGAAAGCTCAATTTTTAAGACTATTTCTAAAAGTTCTCTGAGATAGGGCCAAGGATGAGGGAGGTCTTGTTGGTCTCCGTCTCCCGATACGCTCCCGCCTGTGTCCGACCTTTCCGACATTTCAACATCTTTTTCTGAATCCCACATTGTTAGCCTCGTGAGACCATCCTGATCTCGCGAGCTTTCAAGGTTTCAGTCGCAGTCAGTCAGATGTCACTGACTCACGTTTTCCAGCCAAAAAGATACGAAATCTCGCCCAATTTGAACCAAAGTCTATCTGCGTATCACAGATTACCAGTCCAAGGCTGCTACCATGTATTTTGAAATCTTGGTATAAAGCTATAACAGGCTGTTTTTCACTCTGGGTTTAAACACTGATATAACATTAGCGTTCATGTGTTTTCTCATATGCTCGTTACATTTCCGATTACCAAATTATGACCAAAACTCATTTAATGGAATCCTGATGTCTATTCGCGGCTAGCTATTTCAAAGCAGGTAAAGAATCATTTACTGAAGGTTATTTGTTCCTGATCAAGCAAATAATTTAATAAAGTATTATTTGGCCAAATTGGGAGCGGGAGATCGACAGGCGGATTGGTGCGGCGTCTGCCGTGAAGCGGGCGCTGTACCGGTCCGAAGCTCTTGATTTACCGGTCGATCTACGTTCCTACCCGCATCTATGGTCATGAACTCTGGGTCATGA